GGAGACATTTTCTACATAGGTGAAGAGGTTCCATCATGATCTAGGGTTCTACTTTTGTTATAGTGGAACACACCTAGTCTATAGTTAATAGACTCTCCCACCTATAATAAGTAGGAGTAGTAAGAGTAAGGAGTCTCTCAGTGAGTTGATCTGAGTTCAGTCTAAAGTCGGACGACCAGCTGACCGGTTGAACTCTCTGCCTTCGGGCGGGGAGGAACCCGAACGAGGCTACGCCGAAAGGCGGACTCTCTTTCGGGGAGGTAAACCGACGCTGAACCCGTTTATACGGGTTCAATGGGCATATTTTTGGCCGAGCCCACGGGCTCGGAGATCCCACGTTAAACCGGCCTTGTGCCACATGATGCCCTCGTGGGGGGTGGGTGACTGAATACCGCTCAGTGAGTCGCTGAGTCAGTCGATGACGGACGACCGTTAGTCGGATACTAAAGTATCAGCGACCACCACTAGATTTTTCTGCGTCATTACCTATTATATCAAGTTCCTAACGTTTTGTACGTCGAACCTATTTTAGGACCGACTTAGTACAACTATAATACTCCACTGTGAAACTACTCCATAACAACTTTCTTTGAAGGAACAATGGAGCTTCAGATTATACGGGGGTATCAAACAGTAGGTGGTTACATAGGCATGCTAGGGAGAGCCTTCCTACTGACTGAAGGGCCTCGTTTATGTCGTAATGACTGGATCTTTCTACAGGACAACGCTGCAATCCAAAATGACTGCAGGAGAAAGCAATTTTTCATGGCAAATAACGTGATGCTTTTGGACTAATGCAACGTGTTTGCCTGACCTGAACTCCGTTGAAAATGTTTGGGCGTGGATTGCAAGGAAAGTCTAGAAACGGATGACAGTTTAAAACAGTGCATGATCTTCGTGAAGCCATCTTCATGACTTAGAATAACATTCCAGTCAGCCTTCTGTAGACTCTTATATTGACCATGCCAATGTAAAATAATATTGAAATCATCCGACATAATGGCCGTGCAACTCACTACAGAGACGACTTTTTGGGCATTTCCTACTCTGAGGCTTCCTTTAATCATGGCCTTAAACTTTAGACTGATTAGTATTTAGCCTAGTTTCCCAATATTCAAGCCCTTTGTAAATAAGTGTTTGCGTCTAACAACTCAAAAGGCACATTTTTCTTTATTTTCATTGGCCTAACTGCTTTTGACCTGCAGCATATATATATATATATATATATATATATATATATATATATATATATATATATATATATATATATTTAAATAGGTTTGAAATGGTACAAAAGCGTATTAAGGCATTAAAAACAAGAAATTTTATATTGTAGGCCATGATAAGTTTAAAACGAAACCCACACCAGTCGACTGGTTTCGTCCCCTCTCGTCAGAACTGTTAACGGGGAATTAAGATTATGAGGAAAAGAAAAAAAAAAAGTCTGTCATGGATGACATGAATCAGTGGACAGGGGAAAAAATATATACCAATATATATATATATATATATATATATATATATATATATATATATATATATATATATATATATATATATATATATATATATATACGCATATATATATATATATATATATATATATATATATATATATATATATGTATCAAAAATAATTTCACAACACAACTTTCTTTACACCAAAACAATAACAAAAGTCCATATAAACATATTTTCGCAAATTCTTCGTTTGTGAATTAAGTTTAAAGAAATTTTACGGTAGATGGTACTCTGTTGCGATGTAGACTAGGTTACATTTGTCATTCATGTACATTTGTGGCTACTCTATTTTCAACTTTAATCGTGTGTAGTAGTGAGTTAACAGGGAAGTGTTCCGTTTAACAATGGCAGGATATTCGTATCGTGAGCAGTCAGGTATGATTTTTACATACGGCCGGGCGAATGGTAATGGATGCGAGGCTGCACGGCTGTATCAGATTGCATTTCCAGACTGAAGGCAGGCGAGCCATACGACCTTTGCTGCTGTTTATCGTCGCATTGCTGAGACAAGATCCATGGCACCACAAGCGATGGATCGAAGAAGACCGAACATATGCGGACATATGTATAATCGGATTTTGCCTTTGTTTTTCCGTTAGGGACCCACCCCTACCCAAAGTTTGATAATGTATTTTGATACTTTCTCTGTCTCTCTGTCTCTGTCTCTGCCTCTCTCTCTCTCTCTCTCTCTTTATATATATATATATATATATATATATATATATGTTTCTTTTTGCCTTTACTTACATTACCTGCTTGCATACACTTTTAGATAGTGCCATGAAACTGTTCTTAGCTGGTTTTTATCGGTAGCTTTGTGCCAGACTAAATAAAGTTATTAATCTATTAACTGTTATTATTATTATTATTATTTACTTATTTAGTTTACCCTATTGTATGATTTTCAGGTACAAGTCGAATCGCAGGTCACCTCGCTAGCATATCGGACATGATGAGATTCGAATTAATATTTTTCGGTCGGAATGCAAGCGTTCAAACCACTCGAGCACAGTAAGTACGGCCTAAGCAATCGTCTACAAGAGAGATTGACTTGTCGCCCTAGGAAACCTGTGTACTCGAGACGAATGACCAGCCATTACCCTAGTGTGGAGCCTCAATTTTTTTCTTTTTGTTCGTCTTTATGGTTTATCAATATTTGTGTGTTTTTAAAGTTCCAAAATATTTTGGAGTTTAAAAAATTTTATATTTCATTAATAATATTTTGAAAATAACAATGATTTTTCCAGGCGCAAGTTCGAATATTTAACCCATATTTGGGGGTAATATGGATTCATATATTTTCCAAGGATATCTGCGCGTAAGTGAATGTGACGAATCCGACTGGAATTCGAACTCGGATTTCGATTTCTAAATCCGAGCCTCTATCCATTACACCCTCCGTGGACTACAGACTAAACATCGACCTCACTACAGTAGTAATAAGCTTGTAGGTTAGTTTGTGAACCGTTGCTCTACAGAGAGTTGACCATGAAGACTCGTCTCATTGCTTAGAATCCGTCGGCTTTTAAATACGATTTTCCCTACTACCTCGCTAATCACACTGGGAACAATGAATGCTACTGCGCTCCTTAAGCAACCACCTATAATCTCCATATATTTTCGTATTAATCAGAAAATTCCCATCCTAAATTGAAAGTACCAATCGAACTGTCAGTATGTGACAGTAGCAAAAGAGACCGGACTCAAGAAACAAAAGTGTTTTATTGTTTACGTATCCGAAAATAAATGTTCTCTTCGTTTGCTGAATTGACCGCTCACGAGAATCGGACAACACAATGGCATTTTGTTTATTAATAGAAGACATTGCTAAAAACAGCGGCATTAACATTACCGATAATTGTCATCAATGATCTTCGGTGTAATATGGAGACAACGCCTTGATTCGGAGCTCCTCCTGGGGGGGGGGGAGACGATTTCTTATATCATTATAATACAACCATTGAGAGCGTAAATTGGTGAATTAAACTTAGAATTAAGTGACAGCAAGTCTACTCAGATCTCCAGCACCTTCCGCAGTATTATTCCTGTTTTCAACAATGCTATTGTCTAGATTGTCCCTGCGAGTGTCCTGATTTCCATTTCCTGTAGTCTTTGTTTCCAGTCACAGTGGGACTGTACCCAGTGCTCCGACAACGATGGGAATGACTCTCATCTGACAACGTCTAGACATTTGCCAATCTTTTCTTTTCCTATTCTTTTCCCTTTTTGGTCCACCGGATGTGTGTTTTTTTCTTCGTTCCGAATATCAGCTGGGCTGGCCTGCTGTCGGTGATCCGTTTGGATTCCAATGTCCTCGAAGATAGCTTGCGTTTCATTTTCTAAAAATATATATTTTAGTCTGTGGAGATATTGTTGGTGAGCATGGTCAAAAAGACGATCGGTTTTCCAACCATGGATAAGTACATTTTTTAACGCGTGGTGTAACGCTAGCATTATCAACCCTTTAAGTGTCATGGCCCACTTAGATGAGACGGTAACATTAAGGTCCGAAGTCGGGTTTTTGTTTCTGAAGAGGTTTTTACCGCGTCTCCAATAGGCCTGACGTCATATATGTACATGGTGCGATGAGTAAATTGTCGCCATTTTATATGTATATTTTTCATTTCGCGCATGCGCGTTGCTTTATATATATATATATATATATATATATATATATATATATATATATATATATATATATATATTCGACTGCACAGTATAATAGGGTCAGTTGAACACCGTCTTCAAGAAAAAAGAGCACCATGATGCAATTCACTCGCCCAGAAATTTGGAAACGGCATGCTCTACCGTAATCTTAAAAACTCAAAAAATGAAAGATTTGCGGACATATGTTTATATGGACTTTTGTCCTTGTTTTGGTGTAAGGAATCGTCCCGAAAGTAACGGATTTTTGTTAATCAAACATATTTATTAAACAATATATTTATTTACTTTCGTCTGCTGGAAATGTTATTACAGAAAAAGATTACGCACTTTGGTAGGATTTGAACCAGCGTCCAACTGAGTGGTAGGAATTGCCGTCAGATCAAGTACGCTCTGACCAACTGAAGTACAAAGAACCATAAGGTCAGATGTGGCCGAACTTGTTTAAGCAAAACTTCTCTCGTCATAGATCTCCCGATTTTTTATTCATATTTTCACAGCTTCGTATCCAAACTTTAAACAAAGCGAATTTTCTAAAGAAATTAATTGATTTCAAGAAATCTTATCAAAGAGAAATTTATGCTCTCTGGCAGAATTCAAACTTGCATCTCTCTGAGCAGAGGGAACTACTATTAGATTCAGTACGCTCGAACACTGAGCCCGGAAGATGAAAGTAAATAAATATACTGTTTAATTAATAAACAGAGCGTCTACTCAAATATGAGTATCCACGAAAATAACATTAAAACTGATAAAAAAAAATAATCTGCCACATTAATAAAAATCCATGACTTTAGAAAATTCGCTTTTTTTACGTTTGAAGCACCGCTTCTCATCCGACCACCGAAGTTAAGCAACGTCGAGCCTGGTCTGTACCTAGACGGGTGACCGCTTGGTAATATCAGGTGCTATAAGCGTGGATCTGCGAGTGTTGTAATGGATAATGAATGAGAACTGGAAATGTTCTAATCCTAATCGCATTCGTTATATTTACTTACGTGCAAATCCCCCCGGGAAAGGTATGAATCCACTTCTCTCCCCAACTAAGGATTAAATAGTAAGACTTGCATTATTAAATAATTATTATCTCCAAAACATTATTAAAATCAACAGATATATTCTGGCTTTAAATAACCTGCAAAAAGGTTGATAAGCCGTAAAAAACCCAAATAAGTCAATCAACAGCTAGCTATCAGATCACTGTACGTCTTTTCAATTCTCCAGTTCTAAACTTTAATGTTCTTTATAATTTTAGTAATGATTGCGTTTGGTTAGTTTTAATTCCTTTCAAAAATTTTCATTTCTCCCTGTTTCTTCAAGACTCGTTCAATAACGTCTAGTTCAAATGTCATCTCCATATCACACAGTTGCTTCAGTTTTATGGCAATGGCGAAATATTCCTTTCTCTCTTTGACTTTCACTCTCAGTTCTGTTGGAAAAGCAGCATCCATTACCTTAGTTTCCTTTGACTTGGCTTCCAACCTCGCTTGGAATGTGCAATTCATTTAAAGTGCACGATCTTTAAAAATTGTCTTCTCTTGGCTGTGTTTATACTACTAGTCTTCATGATCAAATACTCGTCGTTAATTTGCCATCATATGTAATTTGGAAATCTTTCACAGTTACTTTTATTTTAATGTCATTATTGCTTCCACTCGGATTTTCAAAACATTAATACCCAGCTGCTACGTAATATCACTCTTATATGGCAGTGGGTGCTGGACAATTTCCTCATAGTTGAAGAGGCGATTTGAGGCGACAGAAATATCGTTTTACTGAAGCATGCTGAGAATACAATGTATGGAACATGTAAGCAATGAGAATGTTTTCAGAAAAATGGATACAAAAAGGTCACTTACATCAGACCATTGCAAAAGTGTATGCAAAATTTTCATTTTTAATATAAAATGTCTGCAAGTTAGTTGTTTTTGTTTAGCGGTATATCAACATCCCTATGGGTTTAATTAATGCCGAAATCTACAAGTGATGTGGCCGTAAGCTGATCGCAGCTTGACTGGCGCTTGATATCGTGCCGTTTGCTGGTGCATTCGTGACTGAAACTTAAATCGTTCAGTTGCGAGTCAGGCCGCGTTGAATTTTCACTTTTTATTCACAAATGAATGACTTAAATATGGAGGATGAAAAATGACACTTTCGCCATATTATGGTCAATCGGTAAGAAGTTAGCGTCGGAACTGTGACCAAAACCTTTCAGAAGGTTTATTTGGCTCGTGCCCCAGCTCTTTGGGCAGTCAAAAAGTGGTTTGTCAGATTTCGTCAGAGTGATTTTAACCTAAGTTTGTAATTTGCATGCTAAGCTATTCCTTTTGCTAACAACCCTGGACTCAGGGGCAAAAGATAGCATAATTTTAACTCTTCCAAAGCTAAAATTCTCTCCATTAATCATCTGAGTGACCCCTAACCCTGCCTTCCATCAGTATGGCTGATGCTAACCTCCAGGAAAGTGACTCGTCGCCACTCCTTGGGCTAACGAATGCGTTTTGCTATATAGGAGATTTTGGTCTGTGCACATAATATTGGTCGAATACAGTCGCTTGAACAGTTCCCAGTTGATCATTTAGCCAACCCAGTCATATTTACTCTTGCATCCTTTAATTATTATTATTAATTCTTTGTTGTTCTATATAATCATTTGCGCAATCATTCGCCTATGACCATTCAGTCGTAATTGGTCGGGTGATATTGGCGCCTGGGGTACAGCTAACGGACCGAGTTCGGAAATATTTTCCATATTATATGAGGCCTTGCACCATTATGTTGTAGAAAAATATTTTTTTAATCCACTGTGTACGCTGTCACTGCCGTATATTCCACATTTAATGTTAAGTGCTACGTATGGTGATTTTCTAAACATTGCTCAGATGTGGCACAAGGCCAAAAGCATGGGTCATCCATCAGAATCGTACTCACTGTTCAGTCGTAATTTATCTAGCAAGACAAGATTACTAACCATTACAGCACGTCGAAGTGGCCAACTCTTGCTAAGCGTGAGCAGTTTAGATATTATACGAGACCGAAACCGTGGGGCGTCCAGTGAGGATCAAACTCACTATTCAGTCGTAATTGATCTAGCTAGACAAGCTGGCTAACCATTAGACCACGTCGAAATGCAATTATTTTCTAAGGTACGTTTAGATGTGGCACAAGGCTGAAAGTGTGAAGCACCCAATGAGGATTAGACTCGCTATTCAGTCGTAATTGATCTAGCAAGAAAAGCTTGTTAACCATTACACCACGGTGAGGTGCCCCCTTAACTGTTACGCATGATGAATAGTTAGAGTCATACATTCGTCATTATAATTGTCCCTAGTTTCTAGTTCTGTCTCACATGTGATTAAATATGTAGTCTAAAATGGTGTCTGACGAACACTGTCGTTTTTTTTTTCTGTGGTGGGCCGACCCGGTTGGGTTTCTATGTTAGACTCTGTGGTTTCCTTTCAGATTAATAAACCAAATTAAATCTCTCTAAGACTGGTATTGACAATCAAATCGGTCGTCTTTTCACCATGACAAAATATTCTTTTCGTTGAGCTAAATTGAATAATTCTCAGGAGGGAAAATTTTGCCGAGTCAGTGAGAAGTGACTGAGAAAGTCTTCTCAATCCTGGGAGTTTGAGACTCGCCTCTTCACCCCGGGAGCAAAATTAGCACTGAAAATAACTTTGAGGTGCAAAACTGCTTTTTTAGCCGAAAATTTCGCCCTCTCACTAACTGCTGATTTGTCAATTCACAGGTCACTGATTAGGCATCGCCAAATTCTTTTCCCTTTCGTAGGACTTGTAGCCGTCAGCAGGCTTTGTCAAACATGCTTTATTTCTGAAATAGGGTGCATTTTCAACCTAGATGGCTGTTTATTATTTAGGGGATCTTTATTTTTCATTTCCTAATTCTTAAACTAAAATTATTCTCCTCTAGTTTGCACACTGTTACATTGTTCCTAGGCTTTTCGAGTGTCTTGACAATTGTTATGTCTCTCACTTTCACATTCCACTTCAATTTATTTAAATGGGTCGAGATAATGATCCACCTGTTAATTTTCTTTTAGTGTTATTCTTTGGTCAATCGAAAAAATAAATATACGCTAGGACACTTTCTTTTCTTATAGTTTACAAAGAATAGATCAAGTCATTTGGCTTGGATTACGTAATCGTTTCATTTTCAAAATCCCAGTGGATTGTATGCGTTTTACACTATTTACATCATTCGGTCTATTGTCCTCATCTTTGTCGCCATATTTATTACAACGTTTCGGCCATTGTACGCTCCGGCCTTCTTCAGGTGGTTGGAATGTCGAACTGAACCCTTTATTTCGCACACTGGGGTAGACTGTTCTTGTTCCACGTGCCATGTTTAATGGATGCCAGTTATCAGTTATCTCCTGTTAATTCCCCTCTCCAAGTTCTCCACTGCTTTAACCGGGTACTGAACTCACACTCATTGGGTCCAAATATAGACATACTATATGCGTTTTACTATATAGGAGATTCTGGTCTGGGCATATAACATTGATCGAATGCAGTCGGTTGAACAGTTCCCAGTTGATCATTTACCCAACCCAGTCATAGTTATTCTTGCATCCTTTAATAATATTATTAATAATAATGATAATAATAATAACTATTATTATTATTATTAATTCTTTGTTGTTTAATATAATCATTTGCATAATCATTCACCAAGGGTAAACGAAATTATTTAGGCATTATTGAAAATGTTTTTCTTAAGAGAGTAAGCTTTACACACTTAGTGTACTTTAGACTATTTTTAATTTCAGATAAAGTTGTTTTTCATGAAAATGTTTTAATACATATCAATATTCTCGAAATCCTTCCTATCGCTTCTATAACTATAGAATTAGCTGCTGTCTTCAAATGAAACATTCTAGTAATTCCTATTATGATATCCATATATATATATACATATATAGTCAACACTTAGAGGCGACAGTCTGTTTCACGCTAAATGCAATCGTCAGGCCACGCCTCTAAGTGTTGACTTCTCTGTTCCCTTTTATATTTACACGCGCTCTATCTCTGATACTGAGCACTATATCCCATAAATATAGCACATCTTATATATTCTATATTTCTTCTTTATATATATATATATATATATATATATATATATATTTATATATATATATATATATATATATATATATATATATATATATATATATATACTAATAATTATACTCGGTTGGTAAAAAAACTTGAAGATACAATTTGCAAGTATTGCAAACAAATTGGTATCTGAGGAAAAAATTGAAAACAAAGAAAGAACTGGAAACATCCAAACAGAGCGAGAAAATCGTCCAGTGTCTTAAATTTACAGCCCAAAGAAAAAAAAAACCAAGCGAGTAACAAATATAAAACTTAGAGTGCTCAATACGCTTTGTAGTGCAAAGGTAAATAAAATAAAATAAATCCCAAAGAGCCAAGAATTACCTAAATGAATCTTCAGGGTAACCCTTATCTTGATATCCTGAAGATCCATTTAGGTGGAACCTACGTAAGTAGTTCCTAGGTTTCTTTATATATTTATATATATATATATATATATATATATATATATATATATATATATATATATATATATATATATATATATATATATCTTAGTTTTTGGACATCAGCTACCATTTTGGCTTTTAAGTCAAAAGTTATGTTCGTATTTAAAGCTTTGATTAATAGTTTAGACAAATGACACACGAAAAGCGTTTATTCATCAAAATATGCCCCGTCATATTCAGTTGTTTGTTGCCATCGTTGTACCAGAACCTCAATTCAGCGCTTATACAGCTTGGCTGGTTTAGAGGCAAACAAACTACCTGCACCCATTTTCAACCTCATCCACATTTTTGAACCTTTGTCCGCACAGGAAATGAGACATG